TATTGTATGGCACCCTGTATATCAATACAATTCTTGCAAATATGAAATTATTGAAGTTCATGGAACTGAGAATAGAAAATTCAATCAGTTCCTCCAGATCTGACAATAAGTGAAAATATAACGATAAACATGGATTTTTCTACACTGATATGATAGATCAACCCACCCTTATCAACATCAGATATATACAGTGTCATTCATAGAGTTGGCATCAAAATGGGAAAAACTTTCAATGATAATTTATTTTGAAATTAAACTAAGGCGTTAAGTTTTGCTTCAAGAAAGATGAAAAATGGCCTACTTCTAAAAATTCTACACGTAGAAAATAAAGGAATGAAACTCAATCATTTTGAATCAACAAACTAAAATAGGAATCAACAAACTAAAATTCTGACATTTTACTTAACGATCAATTAGACCTCAATAGTTCACCACTGTTGAATTTGTTTAGTAAGTAATAATATGTATTTGCTTGATATCAACCCTTTCAAGTTAATCCGGTATACCGTATTTTAATGTAGATATTTTGTTCCTTCAGGTTGGAAAAGTAGGATATATAAGTAAGCCAAGAGTTTAGTTCATCGTACCGGTATATATCACCTGACGAAGCTACTGTGTCGTGTGTTTGAGAATTTTGTGGAAATCTTATCGTTTGTGAAGTTTTCACATCTAGAAATCTGTATGATGCAGCTTATACTCGCTTCAGAGAAGGGTGTTCCGAAAAGAAAGCGCAGAGCTATATGCGGAAAATGTAAAGTTGGTATAAACTCCCTAGGGAGAAAATATGTCACATTATCTCCCTAGAGGGAATAATGCGAGACTTCTGCCCCTCTTTTCTTACCAGTAGATAAACTAACTTCTACTCCCGCCGGCGTAAAAAATATGTTATTTTCTATTCAACTGAGTATTCAATTTTACACTCGGCTATATTATAAATGTACTCCCCTAAGAACACGAGTACGTCCCAGGGGCGTCCTTCATTTTCTACAAGGACGTCCCTGGGATATCCTGTGTCGGGACATGGTACATACAAGGGACGTCCCAGGGACATCCGCTTTCCACAGAAAGAGGCATCCTAGGGATATCCTTCTGGTACGTCCCTGGGTATGTACCAAGTACGTAGAAAGGATATCCCTAGGACGTCCCAAAGATATCCCAGGGACATCCCTTCGATAAAAGAAAAAAAATGTAGGTCGAGTACGGATTGAACCCGGGACCTTTGGCTTGTTAGGCACGCATCTTACTCCATTGGCTATTGAGCCTCCTGAAGATTTATGTACTAAACAGATTTATAAACAGGACTTAACTACAGATACCTGAATAAATACAACTTTGTTAGGATTTGGGTATAATTATTATATATATATTATATTATGGGTATTTAAAAATGAGGGGCATTATATGCATGTACGATTTCTGTTTGTGAAAATGCAACTTAATACTTTGATGAAATTCAATGACTCAGATGTGAATGGATATCTGATATTCCAGGGACACGAATAGGATAACCTAGGGATGTACCGGGCGGGATGTCCACGGGACAACCACTGCGCGACATCCCCTGGATGTCCCAATCATGTCCTTGTACCGCGGGACAAAAAAAGGACGTACCTAGGACATCCCTGCTGTGTTGTTAGGGCAGTATTCCATATGTGATGAACGAAGCCAAACATATATCGTGAGCGGAGAGTTGGCACTGGTTCTGAAAAATTATTACAGTTCATTCTGAAAATCTGAGTACGCCACTCGATTCGACGTAAAAAAATGTATGAGCGACAGTTTTTTCACTTTTTCGATAAGTTGAAAGATAGCTGATGAGATACAAGGGGATTCCCAAAATGCAACTTTTTCAATTTCGTCCTGTTGCCAACGTGCGCGAAAACTGCAAATCTCTATCTTAGAAAATAAGTGAGATATCCCGTGTAAGGACATCGAAAATGGGACAGCCTGTACAGTCCATGTCCAAGTCGGGATACATTTTGCCATTGATAGTAATCAGAATGGACATCCAAAGTCCAAAGAATATCCTGTGTTTACTGTTTACTGGGATGTGGTCCTGATTTTCTAAAGTCAAATTTAATCACACTTTACACTTCCATCGTTTCGATCCGTTTTCGACCATCATCAAGAAAATATTTATTATTTTGGCTGCGCAGATGTCTTCTACAAGAAACGGCTGAAGATCAATGCACGCGTGAGCATTCCGAGAATAATAGTAGGGGAGGCAAAGAGGCCAAATAGGGACTTAATAATGTATGTTCATGCTCTAGTACGAATTCCGCAAAAATGCGAATCGCAAAATATGAAATAGAATTCGACGTTCATATACTCATGCGACAAAATTTGCACGGTATAAGGGTTCTTTATTGTCATATATCATTTCTTTATTTCTGGTCCCACCATATTGATATAGAAGTTCATCAAATTGAAGGCACGTTAACACGAAAGTAATGGATATATTTATCAGGGTCATTCAGTCGCATTTATCGAAGGAGGCTGTAATAATCTCCATAAATTTTTCGGCATTTAAAAATGCTTCGAACACTACAGCTCCTTTTTTTGCGTCTGATACATCATTAGCTCTATATCCTTTAAGGATAATATATACTGTGTCTATATAAAGAGAAGAGACGATACCTACATATAATATGATGCATTAAAATTAATTCGTCCAGAGAATCCAACCTGCGAAGAAAATTCAATCAAATGGAGAAATGATATAATATAATTCATAATTATAATTCTCACTTACCTGTAGGTAGTCTATAGTCTCGTCTTTTTTCGGCCTCTGCTCCCTATAATTCCCCAATTTTGATGCATACTGTCGTGTGGTTATGATTCCATCCGAATTCGTAAAAAAGTTCAAATAGTCCAACTTCATTGCGATATTAGCAGTCTCCATTTTATTCGCATAAATTCTGCGAAATTCTTGCAAGCATGAACATTGACCTTTACTCGAGCGTCGTGGGGACGTATCAGATTGTGAAGATTAGATGCGGAAATGAAAAAAAAAATTATATGATATATATGACCATTCATTGGTGGGGAGAGCGTGTACAGGTGTTCATAAATGTAAATAAAAAACAGTCACATAGAAATATTAATTCGAGCGCATCAGATATTGATAGTGTATTAATTCGCCCCACGTGTTTCTGATAACCGAAACATATTAATTTGCATGGGGAGGGGGGGGGGCGTACGAAGGGATAGAGAATAGTTAAAAAAAGTTATTCGAGAAAAAATCATGACCTTGAAATACTCGAGCGTGTCAGATTATTATACAGACGCTTCATCTTAATGTCCTTGTCTTATCGACCCAAAATCTGACAATTATGTAGTGGAGTTACCTACGTTACCACAATTACATACATAGTTCCCAGCGGCTGCAAACACCATACTCAATTGATGATTTTCGCTACTTCGGCTTGTGCAAATCGGCAGGTTATGCTATTTCCGTGATCCGTGACTAATTGCCTCCAAAATAAGAAAAAATTAACCGCGCTGGAGAATGTACAGGTGCCGATTTTTTTCTGCAACTTTGTGGCTCTCCCGTTTCCTTATGTCACGCTCAAAATCGTCAGATTATTGAAATCATAAGGTTGAAATGCACACTTTTCTGCATGTAATAAGCGTACCATGTTTTAATTTGACGCGGTCGAGTATTTGGACGATCCATTTTTTTACTAATCTGATCTGCTGCCCTAAACTTTCGACACCATATATATATTGTATATATTCTTTTAACTGTGACCATATAAAGGGCCCAGGTATGAAGGGGGTACTTCACAAGGACCAAGGGCGCTTTTTCTTTATGTTCTGATTCCCACGAAAAGGGATATCCTGTAATGTTCAGAGGTAGGAATTGGTGTTCCTTTAATATTTCTGGAGGTTATATGCCTCGAAGAACACCTTCCTTGGCAATGTGTTCCAGAGCTTTGCTGTTCGTTGAATGAACGAGTCTTTGGAAAGAGATGTTCTGCAGGTTCCCACGAAGGGGGTGCGAAGCCTCAACTCGACGGATTAATCTCGCGTGGACTGCCAAGGGAGGAACAATTGTTGATATTTCCGAAGTGCATCGCCCATGAAAATATCTATAAAATAGAGCCAGATCGCCAACTTGTTCCAGAGAAGTGAGTGAGTTTTTGAGTGAGACATCACCCACGAGACGAATTGCCCTTTTTTAGACAGAATCCAACAATTTCAGGGTATGATTGTGTGCTGCACTCCAAATATGGGGACAGTATTCAAGGACAGGTCGGATCTGTGCCTTATAGATCATAAGCAGCTGACTGGAAGTGAAATAGCTCCTGGCCTGAAACAGAAAACCAAGTTTTTGGGATGCACTTTTAGCAATTGATCTCACGTGATTTTCCCAAAAAACGTTATTGCTGATAGTAACCCCCAAGCATCGAATGGATGTCTTCAAAGGTATGGTTACTTCTGACAAGCTTATGTTGGGCACAGTGAGGTCGGCTTTTCTAGAGCATGCTTGTGTTTTGTTTGCATTGAAATCTACCAAGTTATTGGATCCCCATTTGAGAATTGTTGCCAAGTCCATATTTATGTTGTCAACATTTCGCCCTCGTTCGTTTCTGATTTGCCTGGCTGGAATTGGAGCCCTGGAAGAGAACGCGGTATGGAGGGTACCTACTATCAACTGCGAAGCTGTGTACTGGACATGATGTTGCTTCCAACAAATCGTTGATATGGAGTAGAAATAGTGTTGGTGCTAGAATTGATCCTTGCGGAACACCAGCATTTATGATGAGAGAGTCAGATGAAACTCCGTCGACCACTACATGGAGAGACCTGTTTGAGAGAAAACTAGCTTGCAGAGAACATAGCTTGAGCATGCTTGAGTAAATCCCGAAAACCCTGCTTGAGCTTCCCTACTATAACGAGCGTTTTCTACAGATGGCATGTAGATGGCCCATACAGAGCATACGCATGCGCTGCAATAGACATTTTACGGTATGATTGTTGTGAGATAATAATATAATAGGGTAGGGGGCCAGCTCTGCGTGTGGACGGAGGAATACGAACCAGCACTGGTGGTAAAGACGAAAACTAGAAAGAGGGAGACATGGAGAGTGGGATAACTGATAATAATTCATTCGATGAACGGCTGTACTCGATCCTGAACAAAAACGTTCGATAGAATTTCGTTCAAAGCGTGTTGCGGGCATCGTTCGTTCGGCTTGTTTCATGTTTTTCTGTTGATTTTATGGTTGCCTGCGCATTTTGATTTGTTCGTGAATATTCAAGTATTGAACTCTAGTTATTTGATTTACCTACCAAGTGTTCGTCGTCGTCCATGGATAATTGTTCAAAATGAATCCCATCGTTCGAAGGAATTAGACACCCAGTGAGGGCTTGCGAATATTCAAGTTGAAATTTTGAAGGGTGAGTTATTTTGATCTTGACCTACCTCTATATTATTTAATTCATTATTGGCGAAGGAATATGGTATATCTACAAACGTCTATAAAGACTAATTCGATGTTATTCACATAATTTGAATGGTTTATTGTTATTGCAAGTTATATATGTACAAAAATGTATGACAATATTATTGTCAACCTTTATTTCGGAATTCGAAAAAAAGAATATAAGTATATAGATACAGCAGCGTAGGTACAGCAGCGAGAGGATAATTTAGAAATGTATTGTTTTGGGTGTACACCACACCGATGATGGGATATCAAATTAACGATATAACATTTTTGTTATTTTAGGTATATATCTACTAACGTCTATAATGACGAATTCGATGTTATACACATAATTTGAATGGTTTTTATCTCGGTTCCCTAACAACACAGGGATGTCCTAGGTACGTCCCTTTTTTGTCCCGCGGTACATATGATTGGGACATCCAGGGGATGTCCTGCTGTGGTTGTCCAGTGGACATCCCGCCCGGTACATCCCTAGGTATCCTATTCGTGTCCCTGGAGTATCTGATATCCATTCACATCAGAGTCATTGAATTTCATCAACTATTGAGTTGAATTTTTTTGAAAATGTCTGTTTCTCTTCCGGAAAATGATTGTAATGAAAATAAAGAATAAAGTCTCAGAACTTCTTAAGAAATTACAATTTTTCGCAGACAGAAATCGTACATGCATAATGCCCCTCATTTTTTAACACCCAAGAATGATAATAATTATACCCAATTCCTAATGAAGTTGTATTTATTCAGGTTTCTGTAGTTAAGTCCTGTTTATAAATCTGTTTAGTACATAAATCTTCAGGAGGCATAATAGCCAATATGGAGCAAGGTGCGTGCATGATAAGCCAAAAAGGTCCCGGGTTCAATCCCTACTCGACCTGCAACTTTTTTCTTTTGTCGAAAGGATGTCCCTGGGATGTCCTTGGGACGTCCTAGGGATATCCTTTCATCGTACTTGCTACATCCCAGGGACGTACCAGAAGGACATCCCTTGGATGCCTTTTTTAGTGCCAGCGGATGTCCCTGGGACATCCCTAGTATGTACGTTGTCCCGACAAAGGACATCCCTGGGATGTCCTAGTATAAAATGAGGGACGTCCATGGGAAGTCCCTAGGATGTACTGGTGTTGTTAGGATTTTTATTATTGTTATCATTTCGGAATTCGGAAAAACGGATATATATATAGGTATAGATATACAGCAGCGGGTTGGAAAAAAGTCTTAAATTTAAGGAACAATGATGGAATGAAGCATATTATTTATTCAGAGTATAGGTACTTCTAGGTATAACAGGGTATACCTCGGGGTATACCTTTATATAGCTGTTATATTAAACATGCGGCAAAAATTCATGAGTTTGTTCCTTGGACTATATATTCCGTAAATATTTTGGATTTTTGATGGTTTTTGAAAACCCTTTCATTTGTACATATCTCTTCAATGATTTCGTTTATTTATTTTTACCTATATCCGAGCCTATTTCTTTCAACTTTTTAACAGGTATTTTTGGAAATAAAATGTTTCATATTGTCTAAAATTTTGTTCGACCCTGTACCTCCTAAACACAACAAAAAGCATCATTGGCAAAATATTGTTTGATTCCAGGTTTTGATAGTCCAAATAACAACACGACAGAAAGGATACATTGCACGATCTTCCTGAACCATTTTTAGACGCAAAGCTCTGAGGCATAAAAATTCAAATCCTTTATTCAGCCAATAAAAAAAACTAAAATACATGCATATATAAAAAATCACGTCATATAGTTCATATTTAAAAGTCACAATACTGAATACATATATAAAATGGAAAAAAATATATACATGTCAAAAGAGATCACATACACATTGAATATAAAATACTTTTTAATGGTTGATAAGATGCTGTTTCAATTTCTCCTTAAAAATATTCATTGATGAAGAGCCTTTTATATCAATATATGGGAAGATTATTAAATTTACTAGGAATACCAAGTTATATGTAGAATTTTTAGTGACTGCTGGAATTCTTAGGTTTTCTTGGTTTCTTGTATTATATTCATGTATGATTTGATGGCTATACAAAATTTGCTCTAGGTACAAAGGCAGCACACCGATTCGTATCTCATATACAGGGTGGCCCACGGTCGATGGTACCTTAGACGTATTCGGAAAACCTCGCGGAAAACGGTACATTGGATTATCCTGAAAATTTGGTTACTCTAATAAGCGTTTGTGATCTAACGATTCAAAAAAAATTCAGCGAAGCAGCGTTGCCACTTTTACCAAAAAGTAGCATGATCTTTGTTATTTCAAATGGAACACCCTGTATTTTATTGCGTTTTTAGATTCTTCTCGAAGAGCTGATTTAATCAATGTATCACACTTGGGGTCTAGCAGGAATTTTTATAGAGATATAGGGTGTTCAAAATCGAGATTTTTCAACTTTAGGATTTTTTTGTGTCGAAACTATTCATCATTGGTCAAAACGGCTAACATGTCCCTATATTAACTTTTGATTAACTATCTACCGACATTTAATTGGAAAAAATACAGGATGGTCCAAGATTCAGAATTTTGATCACCCTCTATCTGTTCCAATTAAATGTCAGTAGATAGTGAATCAAAAGTAAAGATAGGGACATGTAAGCCGTTTTGATCGATAATGAATAGTTTCGACACAAAAAATTCCTGAAATTGAAATATTTCGATTTTGAACACCCTATATCTCTGTAATAATTCCTGCTAGACCCCAAGTGTGATACATTGATGAAATCAGTTCTTCGAGAAGAATCTAAAAACGCAATGAAATACAGGGTGTTCCATTCGAAATAACAAAGATGGTGCTACTTTTTGGTAAAAGTGGCAACGCTGCATCGCTGAAAATCTTTTGAATCATTAGATCACAAACGCTTATTAGAGTAAACAAATTTTCAGGATGATCCAATGTACCGTTTTCCGCGTATACGTCTAAGGTACCATCGACCGTGGGCCACCCTGTATATATATATAAAGAGAAGTGTTTTAAAAAAGAGGTACTTTTTTATTGATAACCATTTCATTCTCTCTAACATCGCGAGCTTACAGAATCAAGTCGTGAACAGCAGCATAATGATAATAGATTAATAATATGTGAAATTTCTAATAATTGCTGATTTATTGCTGCATTTCTGATTGCCGAAGCATTGCTGAATATTTCTACCCACTGCCTAGCATTATAATACCGACCACTGATGACTTATATCTGTCGACTGCCTGGCATTGCCGAGCACTTCCTGGCTGTCCTGGCATTGCGAACCACTGCCTGGCATAATTGCCTACTTCGACTACTGCCTAGGATTGCCGACCACTGCATACCATTGCAGTTAGACACTTCCGAGTATTGTCGAAAATGTGTACACCTATGGCCACATTGACAAATTTTTCATAAAACTGTCCCCACGGTCACAGGTCGTTTTATTTTCGTTCATATTGGTATTCAAATGGAGCGCATTGCAACGGTTAAAATAAAAGGTAAAGGTAAATAAACTCTTGGAACGCAAAATGGCACTATGTGCAATAAATAGAAATAGAATATACGAATGCTTAAAAGAATCGACTCAAATCTATACTTAGCTAATGGCTACTACGTTAATTGCATACAGATAAAATGTAGAGTTGCAGTGAGATCAAACGATGAAACCACGAGCAAATAGGGATATACAGGGTGTATCTAAATAACACCGAAAAAATTCAAGGGGTTTTTCCTTGTGACATTCTAGCAAATAAAGTTCATATAAACATGTATCCTAACTTGCTCCGTTTTTGATATACGGGATGTTGAAATTGGAAGTATTAATTGTTTTTATTTATAACCCCCTGTATAAAGCTTTCATGGTGCCAAATTTCAAAATGATTTTAATTGGGGTTATTGAGTAATCTCAATGGAAGTCTTGAAAACACCTACATTAAAACCGAGATTAAAACATTAAAATTTGGGGTTAAATCCCAGCGAGCACAGAAACATCTCAGAGATGTTAAAAGTACGAGATTTCGAGACATTGAACCTCCACTGCGATGTTCTGTTCACACCATGAATAGAACTATTATAGAACAGCCAATGTCCGCCGCAGGCGGCAATTATCGAGATGTCCTTGATATGTCACAAAACTACCTTCTACCTAGTTCTTTTTAAAGCTTTTCATGGACACAACAAAACATTTTCAACGCGTCTTGCGCACATTAAATCGCTGTAAAAAAACCATTTTCGAGGTACTTTTCTGAAGCCTTTTGTCAAAATGAACTTTTGCATTAGGATTCCATTTCCATTGAATGAAAAAATGCATTAAAAATAGATTTAACATAAAAATATTTTCTTGATATGAAATTACCTTCTTAATCGGTTTCTGAGTAGTGCTTACTACACACAGACATATAATTGGAAATAGGTTTTCCAATTTTTGAAATGTTCTCCACAATGCATAATTTTGCAACTGCGGAGAAGCTGTGTATTGATGAATTCGTACTTTTATATATTGATTACACTGAGGCACCGAACAACACATCTTGCATCTGATGGTCACTATTACAAACTAAATAAACTTCACCAAATTCCTTTCTGTTCGTTAGCAGCGTGATGTAAGCGTGACACGCTGAAAACGCGAATGCCAATTGCGAACAAGAAGAACAAAATCGAAAACAAATCAGAATTCATCGTATTGTGACGTAAGCATGAGACGTTGTGGTGGGGCAAACAAAGAAAGGGCACAAAAGAACAAAAACAATACTTTCAATATCCTTCTAAGACCTCTTTGGGAAGTGCATATTACGCCTCAAAAAAACATCCTCATGCCTACATTTCTAAAACATCCCAAAACATCCCAGGGATACCTCTCAGTAGGTAAACAAAGAAATGCCACAGAAGAACAAAAACAATACTTCAATATCCTTCAAAGACCTCTTTGGTCACTGCATATTACGTCTCAAAATAACATCTT